GTAAAAACGAAACTATAAAACACTATTCTCTCTTGGGTTATATTGTTATCTTATGAAATCGTAGCATTATTATTACTATTTTTTAGTCCACAGTTTCATCAGTTCCCTAACTGTGTTGTTTGTATTCCATCAGAAGACCTGAAAATGAATGAAAGGGCAGGACTTTTTTTTTTTTGCTTACTAACTCTAAACTTTAGAAATAATAAATAAATATTAACAATGATATTAACTATTTTAGTTTGGCATAATCCATACTCTATTTGGTTAGTAACAGTTACTGAATCTGGAGTTGTTATTGGGAATGATGAAATTTCAGAAATGCTATTTCTAGATTTTTTTTTTTTTTTTTAGAATATAGCACACACAGTACAGCCTTTTACAACAGACGCAAACTGTTGAACATCACAAGAAAGTCACGCGCTGTTTCTGAGAGCCTTTTCTCTCGATGGAGGAAGCTTCACGGAGTCTGGGTTTGCATAGTCATGGCTATGCAACGTCTGCTGAGTGGGTGGTTATGTGTTTGCTCAGGCGTATGACAGTGATGACATGGAAAAGGAAACTTCTGTTGCTCAAAGTTACTGAGAGGTTTCACTAGTAGTAAAATCACAAAACATTCTTACATTTGCTGATGATTTTGACTTAAACGGAAAAGGAGTTTTTTCTTTTTTTAACATTATTTTCAGTGTCAGGAGTTTTTGTTTGTATTTTGTTTTGTGTTTGTGTGGATACACATTCTAATGTTATGTGTGTTAAATCCTCATGTTTCTGATACCACTTTTAATATCCCATGTTTTAAAAATGGAGTGTGAATGAAACCTAAGAGTATTATCCTAGAGCACTTTTAAACAACCAAGTCTTAAGGGGTGGGAGTGATTTGCCCCCACACATACTAAGCCTCCCTCATTATTGACATTCCCCCACTTGAATAGTACATTTGTTACARCTGATAAATCTACACATTTGACACATCATCACTACACAGAGTCCTAGTTTGTTATGTGTTCAATCTTGGGTTTATATTCTATGGATTTAGATTAATGCTTAATTACATTTTTCTACCAGTATAGCATTGCATAGAGTAGTTTCACTATCCTAAAAATCTTTTTTGCTTCATTTATTCATCTTACCTCTTACCCCTAGCAACTCATGATCTTTTACTGTTTTTATACTTTTGCATTTTTTAGAATGCCATGTTGTTGGAATGATACAGTATACTCCCTTTTCAGACTGTTTTTTTTTCATTTAATAATATACATTTAAATGTCTTCCATGTCTTTTCATGACTTGCTATTTCATTTTTTTAAGTAATGAGTAATATTCTATTTTCTTTCATTCCATTATCCTTTCACCTACTAAAGAATATCTTGGTGATTCCAAGTTTTGAAAATTAGGAATGAAGCTGCTCTCAAGGGCTGGAGTTGTAGTTCAGTGCTTGAGCCATTCCCTGGGTTCATTCCCCAGGACTACCAAAGAAGGAGGRGGAAGGAATAAAGCTGCTATTAATATCTGTGTTTAGGTTTTCATGTGGACATAAATTATGAAAGTAATTTTGTATCTGTGTTCATATCTGTATTTTTTGTAATCCCTTTTCTTATCTAAATTGCATTCGTGAGAACATCCAGTTGAAAAGCAATAATGAAAGTGATTGTCCTTACCTTGTTCCTGATCTTAGTAGGAAAGCTCTGTTTTCTCACCATTAATTATTATTGGCTTATTTATTGGTACCAGGAACTCAGGGGCACTCAACCACAGCCGCATCCCCACCTTATTTTGTATTTTATTTAGAGACAGGGTCTCAGTTGCTAAGCACCTCACTGTTGCTGAATATGGGTTTGAACTTGTGATCCTCCTGTCTCAGCCTCAGGAGCCACTGGGATTGCTTTTTTTTTTTTTAAATCATGAATAAGTGTTGGATTTAATTTAGTCAAGTGATTTTCTACCTATATTAATATGATTATGTGATTTTTTTCTTTTTTAGTGATGTGATGATTTTTTAAATTGATTTAATTGATATTTGGATGTTGAACTAGCCTTACATATGTGGGACTAATCCCACTTGCTCACGGAGTATAATCCTTTTTACATTCTTGGATTTCATTTTCTAAAATTTGTAGAGCATTTATATCTTCTGAAAGAGATTGCATAGAACCAGAATAATTTCTTCCTTAATTATTAGGCATAATTCACCAGTGAACACCTCTTGGCCTGATTTTTTTTTTTTTTTTGGTTTAGAAGGTTACTAATTATTGATTCAACTTGTTTAATTTATATAAGCCTATTAAGATTGCCTATTTTTTCTTGTATGAGTTCTACAAAATTGTCTTTCATCCAAGTTATCCAATTTGTGGACATAGAGTTATTCATAATGTTCTTTTATTTTTCTGTTAATGTCCATATAATCTGTAATGATGTCCCCTCTTTCATTCATATATTATACCTTGCATGCTTTCTTTTTGTTAACTAGTATGGCAAGGGGCTTATCAATTTTATTGTTCTTTTCATAGAACAATCTATTAACAAATCTATGGTTTGTTAATTTTTTCTGTTAATTGTTTTCCCAACTTCATTCATTTTGCTCTAATTTTATTATGTATTTTCTTCTGCTTCTTTTTTTTTKGGGGGGGGTTTACCCGGGATTGAACTCAGGGGCATTCAACCACTGAGCCACATCCCCTGCCCTATTTTGTATTTTATTTAGAGACAGGGTCTCACTGAGTTGCTTAGAGCTTCACTTTTGCTGAAGCTGGCTTTGAACTTATGATCCGCCTGCCTCAGCCTCTGGAGCCGCTGAGATTACAGGCATGCACCACTTTGCCTTGCTGCTGCCTTCTGCTTCTTTGAATTTAATTTCACCTTTTATTTATAGTATCCTAAAGTTGGAGTTTGGCTGATTTTACATCTTTTATCTCTAATATAGGCATTCAATGCTACAAATTCTGTGGAAACACAACTTTTGTTACTTCCCCCAAATTTGGAAAAGTTTATTTTCATTTACTTGAGAATATTTTTAAATTTGTGAGATTTCTGTTTTCATCCATGCATTATTTAGTATGTGTGGTATAATCTCTAAAATTGTGGGATTTTCCAGTTACCTCTCTGTTAATGATTTCTATTTTAATTTCACTGTGCTGAGAGCAGACATTGTATAATTTCTATTCTTTTATATTTGCTACTATATGTCCTATGGCTTCATAATGTGGTTTATTTTTGGTGCATCTGTTAGATGAGCTTGATGTGAATGTGGGCATAGAGTTATTCATAATGTTCTTTAGAGGTCCATTATGTCCAGTTGGTAGACAATTTTGTTAAGTTAAGCTAAATTCTGCCTATTTTATGCCTGCTGAATCTATTTCTCATACAGAGGTGTTGAAGTCTCCAACAATAATAGTGGATCATATATTTCTCTTGAAGTTATATCAATTTTTGTGTCATATGTTTTGATGCTTTTTTCTTAGGCACATACATGTTAAGGATTGTCATGTCATTTTGTAGAATTGACCCATTTATCATTATGTAGTTCTCTTTGTCTTCGATGACATTCCTTGGTCTTATCTCTTTTCTGCCCCAAGTTAATATAGCGATTACTGTTTTCTTCTGATTAGGGCTAGCACATGATATACCTTTCTCTCTTCATTTTAAACTATATGTGTCTTTATATTTATGGGGCATTTCTTATGGACAACATACAGGTTCATCTTGCTTTTTAATCCATCCTGATAATGTGTCCTTTAATTGGTACACTCAGACTACTGATATTCAAAGTGATTACTGATATATTTGAATTAATATCTATCATAGCTATTACTATTTTCTATTTGTTGCCCATATTATTTTTTCCTTATATTTATTTTTATGCCTTTCATGGATTTTAATTATTTTGTATGATTTTTTTCTTTTTTAGCATATCAGTTGTGCTTTTTTACTTGCAGGGGTTGTAATATATTTACAGTTGGTCCAAGTTCACTTTCAACCAATACAATAGTATTTCATGGGTAATATGAGGACTTAAAAAAAAAAACTAGTCTTAATTCTTCCAACCTGTCCTCTGTGTAATTGCTTTTAAAATAAAATGCCTTTTTTTWWAAAAAAAAAAACAAAACAAAGTACATGTATAAAGACATGAATTGGTGTGAACATACTTTATATACAAAGATATGAAAAATTGTGCTCTATATGTGTAATGAGAATTGTAATGCATTCCGCTTTGTGTATTAAAAAAATCAATTAAAAAAACCACTATCATGAAATTGAAAWATGAGGCATGGAATAGAAGATAAACATTTGCAATACATATACACAAAAATAAAATAAAATGGAATTTAGCAATCTTTCATGAGGTCTAAATTGACTTTAAGCAATTCTATAGAACCCAAAGGAAGAAAAGCATGTGGGTCTCAGGAACTACTGAACTATAAAGCTGAAGTCTATAAGGACTCTAATCTAGGTTCCTCCTTTTGATTCTGCRTATTTTTCCTTTATTTTCTTCCAAAGTAGGGAACAATAGGGAAAGAAGAGGGATGGATTGACTCTTGTCAATTCTGATTCTAAAATCCTTGAGGAAAGGGGCTCTGCTTTGTCCATTTGGGTGAGGTGCCTGTCATTGGACCAACTTTAAGTACRGAATGGCACATGGGGAAAAGAGTTTAACCAGATCAGTTCATGTGAAATGCCTACACTGGATCAATCCCCCAGGGGCTGAGAAGGGGGCTGGGAGTAGAAGAAGGGAGGCAGGGTTATCTTGTATAAAATGGTTGACAAAGTTAGGTATTTCATAGATGGAGACTCTTTAATAACTTATGAGTATCATTGTCAAAATAGTACCATGATTTTACCCCTACATGGCACACTTCTAATTTCTATTTTGCAATGATTTCTGTATAATTTTAGTGATGGTTAACTGATTGTCTTTCCTGTAAATGAGACTTTTTTGAGAGATAATAGATCCATATATTTGAGAATATAAAATTCATTTAATTTATGCCTCTCTAAATATTTTCTAGATTCAAGTAGTTCATGCATGGATGGAAATCAGACATTATCTCCTACAGAAGGTAATATGCTTCCTTATCGAGGGCCAGCATTGAGGGGTTGAACTTTGTTAGTTACAGTGGCTGATGGCCTGACAGTGGGCCAGCCTCATGTCTAACTATAGAATATGGTGATCTCAGTGCTGTGGTGTGAGGTACCCTGAGGATCCAACCACTGCTTGCTTCCCCAAACAAGGCTCAGTCTTACTTGCCTCTACAACTTTGTCAAGTTGGAGTGGTGGAAAGAGCATGGGTTGAACTTCCTGTCAGCTCTAAGTTCAAGTCCTCTCTCTTTCTTCATCTAGTTATGTGATCTTTAGCTGACCATGAATACCCAGAAAAGACAAGTGACCCTATAATGGAAAGGAGAGATGTTGTTGAGTACAGAGTTTAGCACAACCAAGGTTCATTCACATAAAAAGTTTGTCCCACTATAGCTGCTTCTGCCCATGTTAAAGTGATGATGACACTGACCTCACTTTTGTTAGAGATGAGCTATGGCAGATGCGTTGGTTGAGTAATCATCTCTCGGCAAACCACTCTCAGTCATGGACAGTTCATGTTGGTTTATGACAAGTGTGGGGGTCTGTGTTAAAAATTGCTTGAAGGTCACAGAGCTTAATTTTTTCCTTTAAAAGAGGTACAAAAGAATCTACTTTTGTATTAAATCTGATAACTAGATTGAACATACAGAAACCAAATCTGTGATCAAAATTTACTTAAAAGCAGTTGCAGGCAGGCCAGCTGCACTCTCTGGAAGTGTATGTTTAACTGAACTGCAAGAAAGGGAAAAATATCTAAAGGCTGTGTTTGACAATATCACATCTTGGCAATCCCAAAACAATTTTTTGTCTTTGTTTCTTAATTTATATGCCACACTGTTTTTTCATCAGAAATAAATATTTTTAGACATCTCTTATCACTAGACATCATCATTTTTAATTTTCATGTAATTACTAATTTGATGAAACAGCAGATTATTCTAAATTCTATTAATTCCCCTGACTTTTTTTTATTGCCCGAAAACATAAAGTTTCTAGCTAGTTCACCCTGAATTCCATTTGAGTTACTTTTAATGAAAGTACCATATACTTTTCACATCTGTGTCAACAGTTAAGGATTGGCATTTAGATTTGAAGTTACTGATATTTTTTACTTATCAAAACTCAAGGGGAGACAACCACATGACCAATTATTCCATCATAAATTATATGATAAATCCAACATTGCTCACCACCAAAACATTAGATTTAGGACACTGCTTTTGTCATTTAATCTATAATTCTCTATAATTCTCTTTTTTGTCTGTTTCTATATACCAAAATTCTGATCTAATTCCAATATTCTCATAATGAATATTCTTTCTACATTAATGAATAAGTTAGAATAAATTGGTCAACATTTGGATTTGGTTTGATACATTTTGTATTTTTGTGAAAGTTAACTTATTGTGTAAATCTGGAATAAGATCACCAGGAAAGCAAGGTTCTAGTACCACTTTATGTAATCTTCCTTGAGGCAGGGTTATTTTGTATAAAATGGTTGACAGTTAGGTGTTTCATAAATGGAGACTCTTTAGTAATTTATGAGTATCATTGTCAAGATAGTACCATGAAAAATCAAAAACACAAAGTTCTTTATCAAGGTTTTCTTTTCTCATTCTCCTTGTGTGTGTCCAGATAACACTTGGCTATCTGTGCAGATGGGTACAAAGGCTGTGCTCTGTTGCCCTCGTATTCCACCAACATCAGTGTTGATACTAACAACATGGAAAATATACCTCAGAGACAAGCCTTCGTGCAGCATGTCCCTCAACAGAGAAACAAATCAGACCGGGAACAACAACTGTACTGATGGGAGAATTTCCAGGGCCTCCAGACCTGACCAGAATCTTGAACTTCAGATCCATCCAGTGTCCATCTCACATGAAGGGGATTACAGGTGTGAAATGGGAGCAACTGATGGAAATTTTGAACATACRTATCACCTCCAAGTGTTAGGTAAAGAATGTCGTCTACTGTGATATTTTGGGTTACTGGATTTGTGACTGAAACAGATGTCTCTGTAATCCCATAACCGTATGTTGAGACTGAAGCATGATTTCCTTTCCATCTCTGCAGTGCCCCCTGAAGTGATCCTGTCTCCGGAGAAGAATAGAACTGTGGAGTGCAAAGCAATTGCAGGCAGGCCAGCTGCACAGATTTTTTGGGCCCCAGAGGGGGATTGTGTCACTGGGAAAGAATACCAGGACAATGGCACAGTGACAACCAGGAGTAGGTGCCATTATCCAGATGGCAATCTGTCCACCGTGACCTGCTTGGTCTCCCACCCGACTGGCAACAGGAGTCAATCCATAGATCTGCTTCCTGGTTAGTAATTCTAGTTTTTTTCTTCCCCATTCTTTTAGAGGCATTATGTCAGAAAGGAAAAAAGAATGTACAGAGAAATTTCATTTATAGATACCCCACTTTAGCCTCCACTTTAATCTCTAGTTTCCAAAATAAAAAGATAGGTCTAGAAGAATATCACATACATTGTTGTAAAAAGCAATATTTTAGAATATAGTTTATTCTACTTTTAAAGCTCACTTCTATGCTGATCATAAATCGGGTTGAGTAGTATATTTTTAAAAGAACACACATGTATTTAATAGAAGTATTTCATTCTCCCTTCCCAGACCACTGACGGTCAGGCTTTCCCTCTGAGGTAGGAGACTGGAGGGTTATTTTCTGAAGGCACTTTTCAGAGCCCAGCCCTCCCTCTAGTATTGCTCTGCAGTCTGGCACCTCATCTCCACCCTCCATGATGTCTGGATCCTTGACTCTAGATCACATTCTGAGACCAGACGCCCCTTTTACTGTTGGTTAGGGAAGGGTGTGGCAGGGCACTTGGCAGCTTATCTGTTCTTTTTTTTTTTGAGAGGGGTACTGGGCACTGAACTCAGGGACACTTAGCCCGCTGAGCCACATTCCCAGCCCTATTTTGTATTTTATTTAGAGACAGGGTCTCACTGAGTTGCTTAGCGCCTCGCTGTGCTGAGGCTGGTTTTGAACTCCTGATCCTCCTGTCTCAGCCTCCTGAGTGTCTGGGATTACAGGTATGCACCACTGTGCCTGGCTGCAGTTTACCTGCTCTAACACAGACTTTCAGAGATACTCCCAACTTTTAGCTCTACACTTTAGTCCCCTGCCAGGTACTACTTTTTCTATTGCTTTTACGCATTTATCTCTTTTTAAAGCTCTATTTTATTTGTAATTGACATAATAATTTTATATATCTATGGGATATAAAGTGATAAATTGATACATCTCTACATTGTGAAATGATCTTTCACAGTAATTAGCATATCTCTCAACTCAAATATTTATCATTTATTCATGGAAAGACCATTTTAAAATCCTCTAGTGATTTTAGAATATTTGATGCTTTCTATTCTTTCTGGAGGTTTGTGGGCACTAAGATTTTTCACTTATTTCACTGTTTAAATCATTTGCAATTCTTCCATTTGTTTTCTTTTTACTCAAAAAAAGGTTGTAATCTTTCATCTGTTCTTGTCTTCATTCCTGTTCTCTTTGTCTTTGGAAGTCTATATTTTAAACCTTTTCTTACTGATATTTTAGTAAGTTTTAAGAAGGGAGAAGGGCAAAGTCTGTGTTTAAATCACAATTTTTCAATATTCATTCCTGTTTTGTTTTAAAAGAGTCTAGCAGTATTTATTGAGAAGAGTAATTGTGTCTCGGTGGTACATAAAATCCACCGTCCAGTGTTATGACAAGATGCTGTATTTATAGAATATAGAATTGAAGGGACCATCTAGTTCAAACTTCCATATAGTGCAAAAATCTAGTCTGCCTTCCTTGCACATCCAGTAAGAGATATCTCATTAGCTTGGAAAAGAGAATTTCAAAAACAATGTTATTGTTTTAACAATAAAAGCCAAGTATTTTTTTTTTCAAATAAAATACTGAGAAGTTCAACTTTTAAAAACGTGAATTATTGAAGGAAGTTGAAGGGACTGGACCCCAGCCTGCTCAGCCTGTACTTCCTCCTCCTTCTGCTGCCCTCAAGCCACATTCATGAAACACAGGAGCACAGTTTTGCAAAGAGTGCTTAATTTTTKTTGTTGTTGTTGTTTTAATTAGTTATATATGACAGCAGAATGCATTTCAACTAATTGTACACAAATGGAGCACAATTTCTTACATCTCTGGCTGTACATGATGCAGAGTCACACTGTTTGTGCAGTCATACATGTACATAGGCTAATAATATCCATCCCATTCCACCACCCTCCCCACCCCCAAACCTTCTCCCCTCCCCTCACTTCCCTCTGTTCAATCCAAAGTTCCTTCATTCTTCCCTAGCTCCTCCTCCCCCGCCCCTCAGTATGGATCAGCATCCACATATCAGAGAAAATATTTGACCTTTGTTTTTTTGGGGATTGGCTTATTTCACTTAGCATGGTATACTCCAACTACATCCATTTACCTGCAAATTCCATAATTTCATTATTCTTTAAGGCTGCATAATATTCCATTGTGTATATATACTACATTTTCTTTATCCATACATCTGTTGAAAGGCACCTAGTTTGGTTCCTTAGTTTAGCTATTGTGAATCGAGCTGCTATAAACATTGATGTGGCTGTATCACTGTAGTATGCTGATTTTAAGTCCTTTGGGACTGGGATAGCTGAGTCAAATGGTGGTTACATTTCAAGTTTTCTAAGGAATCTCCAGACTGAAAACAATGCTTCTTGATCTGGCAATTTGTTTTTTGACTTTTGCAGTTTGACTGAGTTATACTGTGGCCAGAAGCTAACAGATAATTTAAGGTTGCTGCTTTACCTTCATCTTAGTTTCAATGCCTGAGAAGAAAGGTGACTTTAGAATTAGGGTTCTTTTCCCAATTACCTTCCTTTATAATGAATCATTTTTTCCTGAATGCTGAAGGTGAGAAATTTTATGTGGAAACACATAAAATTTTCATATAACCCCTGGTCCACCCAGGCACAATCCCCCCCACTATAGGCATCCCAAACCACGTATTATACTTATTACCATCTATGAACCTACATTGGCACACTACCCAAAGTACACAGTTCATATTAGGGTTCACTCTTGATGGTATACGTTTTATGAGTTTAGACAAATGTATATTGCCATGTAGAGTCTGACTGCTATAAAAATCTTCTGTGCTTCCTCCTTGCCTTCTATTCCTGGCAATCACTGATCTTTTTATTGATTCTGTTGTAGTTTAGATATGAGGTGTCCCCCAAAAGCTCATGTGTAAGACAATGCAAGAAAGCTTAGAGGTGAGGTATTTGGAGTATGAGACCCTAACTTAATCAATACATTAATTCCTAAATAGGTATTAACTGGTGGTAACTGTAGGCAAGTAGGGTATGGCTGGAGGAGGTGGGTCATTGGGGCATGCCTCTGGGTGTATTTGGTCCATGATGAGGGGAATCTCTCGTTCTCCTTCCTGGTTGCCATATTCCCATCTGCTTCCCTCCTCTACACCCTTTCACCATGATGTACTGTCTCCTGTTCAGACCAGAGCAATGCGGTTGTCTGTCTATGGACTGAGACCTCTGAAACCTTGAGCACCCAAATAAACTTTTCCTCCTCTGATTGTTCTTGTCAGGTCTTTTGGTCACAGCAGTGAAAAAAAAAAAAAAACACTAAATCAGTCTTCTCAGACTTGCCTTTTCTAGAATACCATATAGTTGGAATCATATAATAAATAGACTTTCAKTTTGGCTTGTTTCACTTAATAGTATGTGTGTTAGTCAGCCTTTTATCCTTGTGACCAAAATACCTGACAAGACCGACTTAGAGGTGCAAAAGTTTATTTTCGCTCATGGTTTCAGAGACGTAGTCCATGCTTGGTGGGTTGCATTCCTCTGGGCCCACGGTCAAGTGAAGCATCATGATGGAAGGGCAGCAAGGAGGAAAGCTGGGGAGTTCATGGCAGCCAGGAAGCTGAGGGTAGGGGAGGGCAGGGAAGGAGGAGAAAGAGAATAGAAAAGAGAGGAAGCAAGGGAGGAGTCCAGGGGGATAGGATAGAGTCCTCAAGGGCTCACCCCCAGGAATCCACCTTCCCCAGGCATTCCCCACCTGCCTCAGTTATCTCCGAGTTCATCTGTTCAAATTAGAATGCACCAATTAGGTTACAGCTCTCATAATCTGATCATTTCACCTTTGAACGTTTTTATATTAACATAGGAGCTTTTAGGGGAATACCTCATATGCAAACCATAACAATATACACTTAAGTTTTCTTCATGTGTTTTCATGGCTTAGTAGCTAATATATTTTTTAATCACTGAATAATATTCCATTATCTGAATTTGCCACATTTGAATCATACATTTTTCTGTCTATGTTGCAGGTGCCAAAGGAACAGAAAAATTGTATTATCTATACATCTTCATCCCTGTTATTTTGGTCATTGGGGGATTCATTTGTTGTTTGAAAATCAGCGGTTACAGGTATTGACTGATGAATGTTTTTCTGGTCTTAGCTTTATTGGACCAGAAAACAGTCAGACATACAGAATTGACAGACTGGGTAACTTAGAATATTAATAGCCTTTCTCTCATAGTCAAAAAGAGTCTCTTGGAGGTGTTAGATATGTATACTTTGAAGAGTACTCAGGCATGCAAGCATGGGRAATTAGGCTATTTAGGGCAGGATCTTGGGAGACACAGTGCATATTAATTTTTTTATTTATGAAAATAATCATAATAGTTCCTTTAATGTACCCAAAAATGTGCCACATATATTCTATTGCTTCAAGTTTCTGTTGCATAATTTTACTTCCTTTTCTAAAATTCAGAATTTTCTCGATTGAGTGTATTAAGCACAAGCAGTATTCTTCACTCATTTCTGGTAGTTCATTCCCAATTTATTATGGTTTCTATCAAAATGAACTTTGGTATACGTTTTGGCTTTTGCATTTTTCAATCTAAACAATGACATTTTCTGCATTCATTTCAGCTTATTTCATCTTTATAGAAAATGTAAATTGAAAAAACCAGAAGCTACTACAGTTGTTGAGGAGGTAAGATAAGACAAAAAAGAATATTTACAAGCTTTTAAGGTGCATAGTCTGAAAACTTAGCAACATCATTTGTAATTTATATCAGTTGAGTTTCCATCAAAACTAAAAAAACTCTGATTTTACAATGCTGATATTTAGGTGTACTTATTTTTGTTAATTATCTATCAAGCACTATTTATGCATCACCCAAATCCACATTTTCATCTCATAAACTATATCCTAATCATATAATATTTGCCTCCTGTGGACTTTGAAGAAACTGAGTTGGTGTTTCCTTTCCCATGGAACCATCTGTAATTCTTGACTTCCCTTTTTCAAGACAATTATCATTTCCTGTAAAACCTATCTTGCTCCTTAATTTCTTGTATGCAGTAGCTTACTAAGTCTTTAACTCTCTCCTTTGAGAAGTACTTCTTATAACTCCAACTACCATGTATAATACTTTAATAAAAAAAGAAAAACACTTCTTATGTCACTCCAGTGTCTATTTCTTCTTCCACACAGCTATCACCTCACACACAGATGTAAGTAATCAACAAATACTTTTTGATAGGGTATTAGAGCAAGACCTTGCTCCAATGTTCATGGAAGCTCAGAGACACAAATATAAGCACTATTGATATGCACTAAAGCTGTGGGCATCTGTTAGAAAAAATGCAGGTGATTTCTATAATGATTTCTGGCCTTTCTGAACTGATTTTGACTTTGACTTCTTTCTTAGGATGAAATGCAGCCCTATGCCAGCTACACAGAGAAGAATAATCCACTTTATGATACTATAAACAAGGTGGAGATACCTCAGGTGTCACAAAGTGAAGTTGATGGCACGGGCCTCCATACTTTATAAATTATTGGACTCTAACACCAAGAAAAACAAGTCAAGATACAGTCCAACTACTGTTTGGCTTTTCTTACAGTTCTTAAACAGAAGACCTATTTTAAAATTAGTCTTCCTAAGGTTCTTGGAGGACAGAGGTTTTCTAATGAATTTGCATGTCTATCTTTCTGCAATTGGAATTTTAGACTCAGCTGCTATTTTTTGAAGAACTGACGTTATTATCACAAAGAAAGTGCATGCTCATGATAACATTTGAATGGTGCAATACAATGAATAGTGAAATGTTTCCTCAAGAAATAATTTTCCAGAAGGAAGAATCATCAATAGTTTTTTATGTATTCTTCTAGAAATTTCTATGTACATATGACATGTGTATATGCCTGTGGTGGTTGTATGCATTTAAATGTCATTTTACATATGTTTTTGTACTATTATGTATATACATATATATATATATATATATTTACACATTTCTTATCAAGATACAAATGGGAACATACTGTAATGCTGTTATATTCTTATAAAAAGCTAATAATGCAAACTTAGAGATCTTATCAGCAGAAGCAAAGCTACCTCATTCTTTTGTAATGACTACATAAATTCCACTATATGATAATTTAATTAGCCCCTGCCCTAGCGGTGAACATTTAGATTGTTTTAAGTTTTGTTTGTGGTATAAACAATATAATGTCAAATGTTTTATCTGGATATATCTCTTTGCATTTGTTTAAGTGTGTCTGTGAAATAATTTTCTTGAGTGCAATTGGTGGATCAATTGGTGTTCATTTTTATGTCAAATTGTATGAACTTACTTTCCTTTCAACAGTGTTTGTGCCATTCCTAATACTCTTATTGTGATAAGAGAAATTCTCAATTCCTCAGATCCATTTTTTTCTTTTCATTAACCAGTGGTCTAATATGATATAAAATTATAATAAGAATCATACCTTTTAATAATAGATTTGTATTTTTTCATGTTTGCAAAGGAGAAAACACACGTGAAAACTTTGTATTCTTCTGAACATATTGTATCTCTAGAGAAGTGTTAATACCTAATGCCTAAATTTTGTAGACATTATAAATTGGCATTATGTATTTTTATGCTGTGCATTTTATTCTGATATATTTATCAAATAACAAATGTCTATGGATGATATAATAAGCTAAATATGCTATGGAGGACTTGGGGAATCTGTATGCTAAGAGAATGATCATAGAATGCAGGACCCTTGGGCTGGGGATATAGCTCAGGTTGGTAGAGTGTTTTCCTCGAATGCAAAAGGCTCTGGGTTCAATCCCCAACACTACAAAAGTAACAACAAAAAATTACACAATCCTCCTATTTTTCCGTGGAGCAAAATGTTTGGAAGATGTATATTGATTATTTTTAATATCATGAACAATATTTTAGCTATAAAAATTATGAAGAATAAGCCTGTTTGCTTCATAACAGGACAAACATTAAAAGATTTTTCATCATGATATGATAGAAACTAAAACAAAATCAGTTGTTTCATCTGAGTCATTTAAGACAATTATTTGGTTGTTAATATGTTTTCCTCCCTTCAGACATTTAGTTATTTTAGGCTTTATCATTAAAGGGATTTGTAATCTATTTAAGGACACTGGACACATGATACTTGCATCAAACCATTTTGACTTCACCAAAGAAAACTCTAGTCCATTGTTTTTGCTTAGAAATATTGTCGAGCAGTGTTTTAGTCAGCTTTTTCACTGTTGAGACTAAAGGATCTGATCAAAACAACTATAGAGGAGGGAATGTTTATTAGAGGACTCACGGTTTCAGAGGTCTTAGTCCATAGAGTGCTGACTCCATTTCTTGAGCTTGAGATGAGGCTGACCATCATGGCGGAGGGTGTGGCAGAAGGGAGCAGCACACATCATGGTGATCAGGAAACAGAGAGAGACTCCCTCTTTCCAGATACAAATATATACCCCAAGGCCACACCCCAATTCYCACCTCCTCAGACGCACTCTACCACTTCACTTACCACTAAATTAATCCCTACCAGGGGATTAAACACTGACTAGGTTAAGGCTCTTACAACCCAATCATTTTTCCTCTGAACCTTCTTGCATTGTCTCACATGTGAGCTTTTGGGGAACATCTTATATCCAAACCATAACAAGCATTATGCACAATAGATAACATTACCCTGTTCTTGACATTTATTAATTTTTATCCATCTGTATTTGGGATTAGGCTCATAAATTGGTAGAAGACTGTTTAAATATTGAAAAATAAAACAAAAGTTGACAATTTCAAAACAGGAATAGAAAATGCACCATAGTAAAGATTCCAAGATAGTTTATTAAAGTTCAATTTTATTGTACAGGAACCAATTTACGAAAATTGCTCACTGAGGAGGTGAAGCATGGTTGAACGATAGAATTGTGGAGAATTTTTTAAAAATACAGATTTCTCAAATCCACTCTATATCTGCTGAACAGGAAAGATAAGGATTAATTGAGAAAGCAGAGGCTGAAATGGAATTAGGAGTGATAAGAATTAATTGGGAGAGGAGGTTTTACCTCTGAAAGATTGAAGGACAAGGAGGATAGGGATGGCGAGCCTTTAGACCATGATGTGCAGATCTGAATGAAGCCTGTGAAAGGAAAGAGGGGAGGAGCACATTTGAGAAAGAAGAACCTCAGGTCACAATATAAGTATTGTCCAAGTCTTGACCAAACCAACGGGCAGCTGCAGTAACAGCAGTCTTTTATAAGAGGAGTTGATCAACTCCTCATAGGCATCAGCTGGGGGCTGTCCAGGAAGAGCATAGCCTGGCTCAGAGGCTGAAACGGCTGCTGAAGGTGTCAGCAACTGGGGACTGTCAGTTAACTGCACTCATTGCTTGCAATGGACTGCTAATTTTTTTTTAATTGATGGGAAATCTGAACAGCACATTTACATGACTATGGTAAGCTATTTTCAACTCTTCAGTGAATTTTATTGTAGTTGTACTTTTATAAAGAAACTACCACTTTTTAAATAAAAAAGATGCAACCGACTTTTATTAAATACTTTGAGAACTTTATATGGGAGTTTAAACCACACATATTTCTTGTGACTACTTACAAATTTGGTCATATTTTCACAGTCTTATTTTATATGTCTCACTTACTATGCTTTCTCCTGCCCCTTCATTGTACTTTATTTTTTTTCTTTTATATGTTTTACTGAATTGTAAATTCTTTTCCCTCCACCCTACCCCCTCTAATACTTTCAAAGTTATCCATTAGTAACCAATTATAACATACCTCTATTAGTAGTTATGTTTTATTTATGGACATCTATAAACAACTTTATTAAGGTTGATAGTATATGCATTATTAAGTTTACACATAACTTTTCACTTGAGAAATCATCAGGATAGTCAATATAATAAACTTGTTCATCACTCCAAAAAGTTTTCTTATGTCTCATTTATAACTATAAGCCCAAACTATTCTTGTTGCCCCCATTCCCTGCTCCCTAGGTAACAAAGATCTGCTTTCTGTAACTATGCATTAATTTGTAGTTTATCCTCAACTTTATTCCAGAAGTTTTATAGTTTTAGGTTATACACTTATATTTATGATATACTTTAAAGTATTTTTGTACGTGGTGTGAGATATGGATTAAAGTTCATTTTTTTTGCATCCGTATACCCCCGCATCACTAAATTACCTTTCAATTTTTGTGGAAAATCATTCATCACTACACATATAGGCCTATTTGTAGATGCTCTGCTTTGTTTTATTGAAAGATTTGTCTATTTTAATGTCTGCATCACATTGTCATATAGCTTTATAAGACTTGAAAGTAGTAGTATTAGCCTTCCAAGTTCATTATTTTTCAAAGTAGTTTCGGTTATACTAAATAGTTTGAGTTTCCATATGAATTTTGAAATCAATTTGTCAATTTCTGCAAAAAAGTCTGATTGGGCTTTAAATGAATTGTGTTAAAGCATACATCAATTTGAGGAAATGGATTCCTCAGCAACATCGAGTCATCCAGTCCATGAGTATAGCAGACCTCCCATTTATCTAGGCCTTTCACTTTTCCCCTGTAATGTTTTGTACTTTTCTGTGTACAGTCCTTGCATATCTTTTGTCGGCTTTATCCCTAAATATTGCATTTTAATTGCATTTTATACCTTTTGATGCTATTCTACATCTTTATTTTATTTTCATGTGGTACTGAGGATCGAACCCAGCGCCCTGTGCATGCCAGGTGAGCGCATTACTGATTGAGCCACATCCCCAGCCCCAATGGCATGTTTTAAAAACATCAGTTTCTAACTTTTCCCTGATATGACATAAAAATAATATTAAATTTTGTATTGACCTTATATCCTGCAACCTTGTTGAATACAATTATTGGTTCTAACAGCTTTTTTGAAGCCACTATCAGATTTTCTACATAAAAGACCCTGACATCTGAGAGTGAAGACTCACTTTCCTATTCAAATGACTTATTTGTTTTATTTACCTAATGCACGGGATAAAACCTCTAGAATTAGGTTGTTTAGAAGTAGCAAGAGTGTACTTATTTGTCTTAATTATGGTTGTAGAGGGAAAGCATTAAGACTTTTACCATTAAATAGTAATTTATCTGAAAATTTTTTTGTACATGCCCTTTATTGGATTGATAAGGTTTCCTTCTATTCTTACTTTTCTGAAAGTTTTTTAAAAAACAGGGATGGATGTTAAAATTCATCAAAGCTTTTTCTTTGTCTATCAAGATGGTCAAAATAATTTTCTTTTTTGGGTTTTTAATGTGCTGACCTCTTCTTTATTTCTACTGTTATCAAGTTCAGTAACCTTTTCTTCTGCAATATATAAACTGATTATCATTGCTGTAGTTTTTATTTTTAGAAATTAGATTTGGATCTTACTTTATGTCTTCTAAATCTTGATTTAGCTTTTGGAGCATATGGACTAAATTCATAAAGATAGTTTAATGCCCTTGTCTGCTGATTCTTAAATCTTTGCCAGTTTTTGCC